TCTAGAATTGCCGAGGCTAGTTTCAGACGCGTGGACTTGGACGGCGGGAGGTGACTGCAGTGTGGAGACAGGTATCAAGTCGGATGTTCGGTTCACCTGTCTCCCAGAAGTGCCGGACGGTGACCTGCAGGCACTTGTTGAAGTCAGTTTGAACACGAACTGGTTCGTGCCGAGACATCATGCTTGAGCGTTCATTTGTTGTTGCCCGAAGTGCAGTTCTAGCAGTAGGTTGTCCGAGGAACCACGTAGAAGAAAAAGCAGCCTGTGCACTGCGACATGGATCCACTCCGAGGTGCACCGTATCCTTCGTGAGTCCTTACGCCGCATGGCCAACTTCTCAATATCGGAGTTGAAGCAGCCAGAGACCCAGAGAGACTCAGAGCTTCTCAGCCTCGGCCTCCCTAAAGCCGTGGAGGTTGAACGCAGCCTGTGTTCGTGCTGGAATCGTGGACCCGTGCCTTGCAGAGACTTCCACAGCCTTTTCTGCGGTTATTTGTCTACCTCTTTTGCCTTGGAGGTACCTTGAACGGGCTCGAAGAAGAAGGTTTCCCAAGGCCCGAGTGCTCGACAAGTGCTGCTGCTCCACAAGATGTCCAGCCAAAGCCGGCCAGAGTTTTTGCGGAAGGCTTTGCGAAAGGAGCTTCGAGAAGCGCAAGCAGAGTGAACTTGGTGGAGAAAAAAGAATCTGCATTGGGCGCTGCTCATGTGACAAAGCCTGCCATGTCTTGGAATTGAGAAGTACTACAGTTGAAAGTCAGTCTTTGCAGGAGCAACAACAAGAGCTGGCGATTGTGCCGCTCGCTAAGGGATGGAGTGGGGTGTTTCTCTGGAGAGAGTCATGGCTGGCCCATGCCTCTACAGGCATGACCTGCCGGAGCCACACGAACAACTGCCGCCCGCGCGCCCAGGATTCCACCCTTTATGCTTTGGTGCTCTCGTGTGATCAGTGCAGCTGCTCACGTACATCAGGCCCGATGTGTTCCCTGTGCCCTTCATCTATGTCTGCAAGTCCGCATCTCAGGACTTCATGAGCATTAGCAAGCTTCTCCTAGATACTTCGTTTTCGGGAGTCCACTCGCCAATTCGAAACGGGCTGGATTCTGCTTGCGAAAGGAGTTTGACAAGCAATATACATGCTGTAGAGTTATTGTAGAGCATCCAAATCTGGAGCGTGGTGTCAATGTCCCACAGCTTGGCTGCCTATGTGTGCATCATAGCCCCATGATAAGGTTCAATGCGCGTTGCGAGCTGGACTTGAAACAGGTGGGAGAACTGAAAGGCGCTCTGATGAAGGCCTCTCATTGCTGCGTTGCTGCCCGAGATCGCATTTGGGATCCGTCATGCCGAGTATAATCCCCGCAAGCATAGCAGCATCACGGTGCGCCAGATGGTAAATCGATCGCTCCGTGCAATGCGCTGTGCGGGCCTGCGTTTGCTCTTGCTCAGCTGGGTCAGGTACGTCTTTTCAACCCTCGTGTCACGGCCTTGATCCGTGCGAGTGGCGCAATAACGCTGCCGCGAGCCCGGATCTGCAGCTTAGCACAGATGTCTCGCTGTATTCCTTAGCTTCATCTGAAACTTCGGCACGAAGGCCAAGGCCACCCTATAAGACTGTTGGCGGGTGGGGCCTTGGGCATTGAGCCGTCGACTGCGATACAACTGATGCTCATATCACATAAAGGCTTGGTGTGCAGAACGTGCGCTGATGCCGAGCAGCCGTTTGACGCTGTTCAGCTCCGCGACAACAGAGTCTCACGAAACTGACTGCTCGAGCACCTCTTCCGGCAATCAGCTGGCCGGACCGGAACCCCAAGGGTGCGCTGTCAACTTACAGTGAGCTCGCAACCGAGGTCTGCAAACGCAGGCTGCGCTTCAGAGGATGACTTGAAGAGGTGAGCAGCAGAAAAAAGCGAACCGTGCGCGATGACGACTCTGTGTGACTTGGCAGGTCAGCGAAAAAGCTGGCCAGGCTGATTCAAAGGCACTCGACTCACGGTGTTGTGGTATGTTTCCCTATTGCACAAGAGCAGGTGTGGACATGACGGTGCAAAGTCTTTCCGGCAAGTTTTAGCTCACGCCAAGCACCGCCTCTGCGGCGTAGCTCAGCATCTGAAGCTGCCAGGTTTGCTGATTTCGCCGTTACCAGCATCCTTTGTAAGGCAGGATTGCAAGATGTGGATGTCCATGGCCAGTGACTGCGAGTGAGGCCACTCTCGGATTTCCCGTTCGCCTGGATGTGCTGGCGTCCAGGTGCTGGAGCTAGGCCTCACTTTTCTCCGATTGACGTATCAGGCTTCTGCGTGACAGGTTCCGCAAGAACGCCCTTTACGAGCCAGAGTTCTTCTGCAGCTGTGCCTCTGGGCTGCAGGGGGGTTTTCCTTTCCGCGACTTTCATCGCTCCCTGCCTCCGGGCAGGTATTTCGCACACGACAGTCCGCTTCTTACAGCATGAGTTGTTTGCACGGAAAGGGGCAACCATACCCGATCATACCCCACTGTCGCACTTGCCAAAAAAGCAGCTCACAGCAAAAGAGACGAAGCCTTCGAGCCAGGAAGGGCTTAGGGCACCATCCAAGAAGGACAAAGATAAGCAGAAAAGCGAGGGGGAGAGAGAACGGAGAGGTTCCTGTAGATTTTATGGCCATAGCCTTTGATAATCTACACTCGTTACTCAGTCCCCTTTACCCGATAAAACATCGGGTGGGCCCTTGCCCACGGGCTTTGACAGGCCCCGATGCCCGGGAGAGAGAGAGAGAGAGAGGTTCCTGTCCACCCATACCCAGGAGAGAGAGGTTCCTCGCTGCAGCACTTTGAATTCTCCGTATCTGTGTTCCCGATGTTCAAGTGAAACAGGGATGAGTGGAGGTACATCAGATGTCGTATTTCACATTTTTGATTGGCTTTAGCCTATGGTGCCTCCTTCATCCCTTTGCTTTGAACTCCCTCCAATGGCCCAATACGAGCGACCGGAGACATTCGCGTGCTCGGGGAGGGGCTTTGACCTGCCCTTAAAGGAAACAGAGTTTGTCCCAGTTGGAAGTGCTGCAAGCCCTCGACCCAGAACACTCTCTCTCTCTCTCTGTCTCTGTCTCTCTTTTTTTCGCCAGGGCTAGGGACAAGAGGGTTGCCCCCTTGCCCGCGCGCGTAAGCGCCCCCGACTGTTGCGGAGCGATTGTCTTGAATGTCTCTCGGGCGCACATGCGCGGTGGGGAGGCAACTCCCCACCACAACCCTGGACAAAGAAAGACTGAGAGAGAGAGCGAGAGAGACAGAGTTCATCCTCAATGACTACTGAAGGAGCACCGACCGGATCTGACCTGTCTTTCCCCGGGAAACCCTGTACGTACAGCCTTGGCAAAAGCGCAACTCAACCACCGTGATCAGGGGAATACCCCCCGCGATCGAGAAACCACGGACACTGCATCGTTGCCCGTATCCGGACTTGATCATTGCATTCTTTTGATCGTAGTGTGTGCAATGTCTTATTGCGGCGAGTCCAAGCCGTTGGTTGTGCATTGCCAACACCCTCTTTGGCACCCGGAACAGGCGGGGGTGCACGAGGGCCACGAGCACTTCACCACCCCGCGGAAAGAAAAGAGACAGAGGGAGGACTTTGCCTCCAACTGCCTGAACGCAATCGGTGGCCTACTCCGGCACTACCTCGCCCAGCCGATTTCGCCGGGGGAGTACCTCTCGAAAAGGGATTACCACTCGGGCGTGATCGAGAGCTATCTCGGGAACACTGCGGTGAGGGGGGGACCCTTCTCACCACAACCCTGGCGAAAGAAAGAGGGAGAGGGAGGGGGTTGCCCCCCACCCGGGAGAGAGAGAGCGACAAAAAAAGAAGTGAGACGGAGCTACAGGGTCAGCAGAGGAAGAAGCAAGGAAAGCGAAAAACAAGCAGGATCTGCCTGACGGAGCCGTCTCACGTCAATCAATCAAGACAGCCCTTGGTGAAGTGGAGAATGTGGTTAGGAAGAATCTGCAGACACTGCAGGCCGCGCTGCACGTTCCTGGTGACAGCAGGTGGCAAGGCCACCACCTGAAAATTCTGCTTTGCATTATGCACTTCTGCACTTCCTTGTATTGTTTCGTGGTTTGATTGACTTGTCTTTAGCGCATCTGCACTTTGCATGACGCAAGCCGTTATCAGCTCATCTGAGCAGCCAAAAGCGTTACCTACATCAGACCGAGGGTGCAATGGCCCGTTGCCGTGCACTAATCTTCGCAGTTGCCACGGCCACAGCCCTGAGTGGCTATGCTGGCGACGTTGAAGTGGCTCTCTTCAGCGACGAATCTTGCACTTCGGAGGAATGTGGCTTGGAGCTGAGACAGCTGCGGGGCCAGCAAGTTTTGCAAGCAGATGATGCCAACACTTTGCGGACGAAGGACACCAAGGACGACCTGAAATCAGGTGCAGCCACTGGCTGTGCTCAGTACTGCCAATACG